CTTTGTAAAACCATATAAGCTATTAATATCTGAAGATCATTGCATCCTAATTATTATTGGTATTCATGTGCTATACATGGGATATAATATCACATATAAATATCCAAAGATGTACTCTATCATATTATGGATCATTTCTTCAATGTAGTATCTATTACCTAATAAATGAATGTTTAGAGCATATATTGTATCATCTGCAGATTTAGATAAATAAAAAATGTTGGTTATGTAAAAATGCATATTTAAAATGAATGTAAGCATGGAAATTCTGTGCAGTGGCACATGACTAGATTTCTTTAATTATAATATCATGCTTCTAATAAAAGAGTATTGTGACTATCTAATATCAAATCATACTTATGCTCTATTACATACTGCCAAAATACCAATAAACTGCAATTGGGCCATTTCAAATATTAATTTAAAAAAATAATTTTATTCATTTGAATATATGTTGAATCATGTTTCCAAATGTATTATGAAAATATTCTCTCTTAATCATAAAATTCTTGTTTCTTGAAGCATACATTTAACTACAAGTGTAATTTAATGATGAAGTACCATTAAATTGTATTCTTCAAATGAAATTAAATACCAATCATAAAATCTGACAATGTTATTTTTATATATTAATAGGTAGATTTTTTTTAAAGTCACACTAAAATGCATTGGTTTTCAAATTTAGTGAATACCAATTTTTAATTTAATAATTTACTGTTACACTAAACTTTGAAGAACATAGAAAATACATTGCATATGAGTGAGACCTTGCTTTCCCTATCTGTCACCACATTTCTCTGACATTAAAAACTTCAAATTATTTTTTATTTTCTAAAAGAAACGAAAAAAGAAGGGGGAAAAAATAAAAGGCGTAGTGACCTACAAAGAAAAATACCTAAAGCAGAATAATTTTTCCATTGGGGGGGGTCTATTATTCACACTTTAAAAATAATCCTCCAAATAACCACCTTACAATTAATTTCTAAAGTTAAGGGGCATAAAGGGAAAATTCTATGTAGCTCTTTGAAATTACAGTGGCTTAAAGCTTTAGTTATTTAACGAACAACCAAATGCCCAAAAGTTTTAGTCTTAACAATTCTCTGGTAGCTGAGGCAAGTATGTTTCACCAACTTCTTTTCCAGGAAGATAACTGTATATTTTGATAATTGGCTAAAAACAAAATAGTTAAATGGGGCACTAGTATAGTTCTTGTTATGACTGTCAGTATTATCAAAGAAATAATCATGTGTCTATTTTACTTAATCATTTTTTTCAGTGCACATTAATAAAAATTTTCCCTGCATCAAAGTGTCACTTAGTAGAAATATGGTAAGGTCCTTGAAAAGGATGAATTTGAGAAGGATTTATATTGTATGTTCTGGAGTAGTGTAGAGAGAACTCCAAAGTAAAATAGCCTAAGTCAGGATTTATATTCTTTCCCAAATATTTGGTACAGGGTTTATATCAATTATGTAGGGGTAAAAAAATTTGCCAATGACACCATTACAAATAAGACTTCCATTCAAAAACACATTATGGAAATTCATCTATTAAAACATGAAGATGAACCTCTTCTTTCAAATAAGAATATTACAGTATCCACTCACTGAAAATGTACTTTTTACTTGCACTTTTTTCCCATATCTAGTAGTGCTAAGAAGACATAGTCGTGAATGACAATTTCATCTAGTCAGACCTCTATTGGTACATTGATCATCTTCTCTGGGCATCTCTCTAAGTTCTTCTGCTCCATCTTTCATTGCTTGTCATGGCATCAGTCTGCTTTTATGCCTATATCTTTTCTTTCTTCCAAGCCTTTTGTCTCTTCTTATGCTTCTCTTGGGCTTCATTACTATTTACATCCCTCATCTTTCTTTCCATTGAATAGAAAAGTCATAAAATAATGTTAACCTAAGCACTAACTTCACAATTTCTAAAAAGACCCTGAATATTTTTTAATGATTTGAGGTATATATACATTTATGCAAATAACATTATCTTAAGTTAGAAAGTATATATTATAATCATTATCATATTTCACAATTTTCAACAATATTATGAGGACCATTTTGCAGTGGCAAAATTTGCTTATTTTACCATTAATGAGTTTTTTGCGAGAAACTGTGGTTTTTTTTTTTGTTTTTTTTTTTTTCCTTTCTTGAAATTGCAATGTAGATGTGTTTCCAATAGTTTTCCACATCTTCAACCTTGGATTGTATTCACAGACTATATTTCATAATTTTCACAATGTTATGTTATAATACTTGTGATATGATTCTAAAAATTGTGTGTAATAAATAAAATGTCCATAAATAAAAAAATAAAGAGGAGATACATGCATAATATCTCAAATGTGATTTTTCCTACATATTAAATATTTCTGTATCACCTTTGTAAACACACATATACATAAACAAATACAATTTGATTCAAGCAAAAGAAAAATTAGTAATGTAAATGCTATGATATGAAGTATATAAAACTTGACTGCATTAAAAGAATAGAGTAGAAACAAATTATGTTATAGGGTCCAAAAATAGAAAAAACAAAAATTTTTAAAATATACCTGCCTCTGGATACAGAATAAGTTATCATTTTCCCTTTAGTAAGAAGCTCTAAAAAAAAGAGAAAAGTTTCTGTTTACAGAGAAAAACATGAAAATCACATTAAAATACTAATCTGTTTGTTGTTTTTTTTAATGAAGTCTGATTTTGAAAATATATATATATAATTTAATATTAAGGAAAAAATAATTTCCTAAGGGTATGAACTGTTCCACTTTAAAAATGGGCATCTGTATGTGAGTGAGAAATAGAAAGGGAGGGAGAGGAGAGATAGCTAATAAGAGGACAGATTCTCATGTCTGCAATTGTTTACATGTTAAGTCTTTCTGAATGGCAACAAATGAACCAGATAGCCTCCATTCCAAGTCTCTTATAGCCCCATGAGCATGCGTAATAACAAAGTGCTTTGTGGTCAAAATAAAATTTCTTTTCTACTATTCTAATCCATAATTGCTTATTTTATTAAGGGATCAGTTAGCCTTTGTGTTTTAAGCCCATCTATCTTCCTTAAGAAAATCTGATGTAATAAATTAGGTTCATAAGCCCTAGATATCAACCAGGCAAGAGTTTTCATATGAACAGGTTTCTGTTTAATTACTTGAGTCCAGAGGAACATTACTCAAGAAAAAAAAAAAAAAAAAAGGTTTCCTTGTAAGTTTTATATTAAGATAATATGGCAGTAAGCAACAGTTTGTCTACATGTTGTCAGTTTACTTCAACTATCTATAACAATTTGGATTGTACAACATATGTGACAAGGTTACAGTTTTAATTCATAGGCCCAGAGATCTTATGATTTTAAATTTCATTGTCAGAAAGTGTTTCTGGCAAAATAATCAACACATTCTTTTGCTCCTTTAACAGGGTGAATGGTGATTTCTTGGTTTACATGCCAATCATATCTGTCAAACGCTTATTTTTCTAACTGTGACATTACCAGATTAGAAATGGAATAAAAACACTAATTAACCAGTGTTTAAAAATCAAATCATCTTGAATATAGTTTTCTTTCTTTTTTTTATTTTTAACTCAGAAACATTTAACACAATTTGCTTCTCATATGCAAATGGACATGTGTTTTATAATGTACCTCTAAACTGTGCTGAAAGAGGTGCATTTACAACCAATAAGACTAATCATCATTGTTAAGGGAATCCTCTCTTTGGGGAGTGGGATTCTTCCAATTGTTTGTATGGTTGGGATGTCTGACAGCATCCTTTCTAGAAAACCTACCAACGTCTACTCCAACTCCCAACCCAGCTGGTGTTCATACCCCACATTGCCCTCCTTGCAGATGGCCCCAAAGGGATAATCCCAGAAAAGTGACAACAGTCATCGTTTTGTTTTTTGTTTTTTTTAAATACGCATCTACTTTCCTGTATCGTGTATTGGGAAGCTTTTTTAATCAAGAAAGAGTGCATGTCCTCACACTCATTTGTGTGCATGCACACACATACAACTGCGCGCACACCCGCAACTACAAATACACACACCAGCAGCACATACACCATGAGCTCTCTCTCAAAACAAGCACACAGGACGGGGATCAATTCACCCTCCGGGATGGATTTTAGACTTCAGACCCCCTACATCCCCAAATGCTGTGTTCCCCTTTGCCAGCTTGTTGTTGTTGTTGTTAAGTGCCGTCGAGTCGGTTCCGACCCATAGCGACCCTGTACAGGGTTTCCGAGGGTGTAAATCCTTACGGGAGTAGAAAGCCTCATCTTTCTCCCGCGGAGCGGCTGAGTTTCGAACCGCTGACCTTAAGGTTCGCAGCCCGATTCTGGTAGCGTAGTGGTTACGAATCGGGCTGCGAACCTTAAGGTCAGCGGTTCGAAACTACCAGCCGCTCCGCGGGAGAAAGATGAGGCTTTCTACTCCCGTAAAGATTTACACCCTCGGAAACCCTGTACAGGGTCGCTATGGGTCGGAACCGACTCGACGGCACTTAACAACAACAACAACAACGCTACCAGAGCTCCTTTGCCAGCTTAGGAACCCAATTTACAGCTCAGCCAGCCCCCACCCCCTTCTCCAAGAAAGCCCTAGGTGTCAGTGTTCAGGAGAAAATCTATCCGACCCTTATGGCCAAAAAAGAGCAAGAAAGAAAGCCAAATAGAGAAATAAACAAATAACCACAAACAGCCAAGAAGCCATGCAAGATAGGGGCTAAGGGCTGGAAAGTTTCAGAAGAGTGCAAACTGAAGTTTGTGCGGGACTTTATTATACTCCTGCCACTGAGCGCAAAGTAGGAATGTGCGTGGTTAATGAATGAGTCCTTCAAGTCCTCTTGCTCCTCGGATTACAGCGGGAGGAGTAAAGGCAAGCTAGTTAAGACCCCTTACAGACAGGGAAATTTGAATGAGGGGGGTGAGACATGCAGAAGGGGGCAAAGGGAGACAGGTAGAGAAGCCAAATTAAAAAAGAGTGCCTCACCTGGCATTGGTGCAATCAGTGAACAAAGTTTCGAAGTCTTTCCTGGTGATAAGTTTGCAGCGGTTCACCCCTGGCTGGATGGCCCCCAGTCCGCGGAGGATCCGAACCTGCTCTACAGTACACACCACAGGGGTTATGTCCAGTCTCTTCAACTTGGTGTACACGGTGTGCAGCCCTCCCACTAGGTGCTTAAGGAACAGATCAAAGACTTGAGGCAGGCAGATCAGCTCCTGGCCGTCCATCAGAAACGAAGCCACCTTCACCCCATGCATGTCGACCATTCGGCATTCATTAGCGGTGGTGTTTACGCTGTTGCTGCTGCCACTACCAACCACGCCACTCCCCGCGTTGCCGCTGTGATTACTGACCAAGAAACTGTTGATCATACTGGGAGTGAGACAAGGGGGCTCTCCTGGAGTCGAGTACAGGGGTTCTGCCCGAAATAAATCCCCCCGGACGCCTGCGCCGCTGGAAGTTGTAGAGATCGCCGGAGGTGCTGAGACAGACATAGTCATTCAGTTTTAATCCTATGTCCTCCAGTCCTCGCTGTCTTGTTCTCACTCCTCTAAGTACCCTCTCACTCACTCTTTCACTCTCCCACCCACTCTGATTCGCTCTTGCTCGTTCAGAACAGTTCGCAAGACCAACAGTCAGGCTCACTTACCCGCTGTAGCTCACCCACCACGGAGCAAACTGTGAGCCGCCTAGACCCGCCGCGGCCCCAGACCCCACCCCCGCCACACCCCCTCCCGAGACTGGCAGCGTCCCCCAGCCAATGAGCCCCACCGCCTCGGCGCCAGAATGCGCCCAATGGCTGCCGCTGGCGAAGGGGTGGAGACTCCCTGCTCTGACCTCCGATTACCTGAGGCGGCCGACTAAGGCTAGCAGGTGAATTGGGATCGAGATTTAGCAGGGGGCAGTGTGGTGCCTCTGCTCTTCTAGCTTACATTCAGAAAGAAGAACGTCCACCTATCACGTAGAGCTGTCAAAGTGGCAGAATCAACTAACCCCTCCTCTCAGCGCCTCCCAAGTGTCGGAGTAAGAACACAAAGCGGAACTCCAGAAAGCACCTCCCCTCTCCCAGCACCACAGTTCCATAAAGGACAGGAAGGTGATAGCTCTAATTCCACTTGCGAATTGCTTTCAAACTCTACAGGGTGCTAATAGCCGGTTTCGTCCAGCTTCCGTGGAAAAGATTCTAATGAGTTCAGAAGTAAGCAGCTTAGATCTCCTCCAGCCCACCTTGTGCATTTGGTGCAAGTTCTCCAACCCAGAACACAAAGGAACAAGCGTCAGAGTTAACACTTAAATCAGAGTTGCTTGTTGCCAATCTTCTCCTACGCACTGACATTTAGAAACACTTGGGATACTCTTCCAACACTTTGAAAAACCAGCATAAAGATTTGGTTTGTGGATGGCAGACTGACTACCCATTCTACAGTACTTCCGCAACTGTCCTGGAAGAGATTGTGTTTTCTGTGTCCCCCCACTAAAATTGGTAGGAAAGGTTCCTTTATGACTCAAAGCAGTCCTTACAGAAAATGAGGAAAGAACCAAGGTTTGCTCTCTATAATGTATCCTTACTCCTTCACCTATGGGATAAAAAGTAAATTTATTATACTCCTGCCACTGAGCGCAAAGTAGGAATGTGCGTGGTTAATGAATGAGTCCTTCAAGTCTTCTTGCTCCACTTGTCAAGGGCCCCAAAACACAGTACAGGAGTTCATTATGAGCAAAATGTCTGAGCAGGATACATTCCAGGGAAGAGGCATGGTTTTTTTCACACAGCATATAGTGGTTAGCCCACCTAGGCAAAATTATTTTCAGATTCCTTGTCAAGCTTTTGATTTTCTGAAATACAAGGTATTTGACTCTCCTCGAGTCAAAATGCTAAAAAAAAAAAAAAAAACAGTGGTGATATTTGCTTTCGGGGTACTGTGAAGAGTGTAACATAATAGAATGGACTATATGCATTAACAAAATATTTTAAATTGTTTTTGCTATTTTAAATTGGTTTTGCTAGTTTGATACTGCTGTGGGAAGAAGGAGCAAAAAAAGTTAAGGACAGTTAAGAGGAGATGGCAGAGACAGGAAAAGATTCAACAAAAAACAAGAGATTTTCCTTGAAACAACAGGACTCTGTGATACAGGGATTGAAACATAGTCTGAATCAGTAAGAGAGGAAATAATGTTAAAATATTTGTCTGTCTTATGTATATTGATTTCCCTTGCCTACAACTGTAAAGCAGACACTTCAGTGGGATAGAAAGGAATATCAGGAAATATGATTACAGAAAGCTTATAAGCCCGCCTTCAGCCTATAACTGATTGTAATACCTAAAAGGTGTTCCAGAACTTGCCCAGTGAAATAGACTTCCTGTGGAGCCTTTGCAGTCTATAGGATCTTAGGTGGAACCCTGAGCCCCATCCAGAACTCCTGAGGTGGGACATTCCCACTTGAAAGGACAAGCAAACCAACCTGGAACCACTAGAGAAACAGAAGATTCTTCTTGAAAGAAAGACCAGAGGAAAAACCTAAAACAAAAATGGCAGTCAGATTGGCTACTACAAGAGCAAACAAGTTGTTTGCTGGGGAGCCATCGAGGCAAGCAATCAAGTACCTTCAGGACAAATGCCCCTCCAAGACTTAAACTCAAAGGGAGCACATGAATAGGCATGTAAGCTTGCTGGCAAACACTTTGGTCTACTGGTAAGTGGAAGAGGGAGAAAGGCAGCAAATGAAGAAATGGGCTGAGTTCAACCACATTCCATAGACTCCCATTGACCTGGAGATGAAAGAAAGAAGAGGAAGGGCTGGTTGGTCTGACTTGGGGTCTCCTAAGCCCATGGACAAGGACATAGCCACAGAGCGCTAGAACTGAGAGTGAAACGCCCAGAAGATATGAAGTGAGGGGAGATGCACAAGAATGCCCAAACTTGTAGATAGTATTCATTCAAATTATCTTTGATGGCTTGATGATCAGAACTCGACTAGAGGAAGATTTTTTTTAATTTTTTGATAAAGGAAAAAAGTGTAAATTGCTACAATTTGATGAACTTGGCCTATACTTGTGGGTGTAGTAGCTCAACATACCAACTGAGAGTGAAGGAGTCTTCACATCAAGGATCATTCCTATCCCTTCTGTATATAGGGTTGATAGGGATGGGCAACTTAGATATTCGCTACCTAAAATGAGAGGGGCTATAAAGGCACAAAGTGACTGGCTTACAAGTTTTCAAGAGGAGTTTAATTTAAGAGTGTGAGGAGGAAGGCAGAATCCCCACTGAATAGTATTCATCTTGTCTAGATGGATTTCGTGAAGAGACGGGAATAAGATTCTTATGATTCAATAGTGAATAACTGTTATCATGAATAATTGCAACTGTCACAACTATAAAAGTAGAAGTTTTGTAACAAAAAAAGGAGAGTAGTTAATCTTATAGTCCAGAAACAGAGGACCCTATGACCATCAAGGGAGAAAAGTACAAGTGCAATGTGGGACCCTATCCAGAGAAGCAGTGACACCAGAGATAGAGACAGAGATGAAGGTATGGAGCTACAGAGCTAGATTTATGGAAAGAGAAAGGCTGTGTACTGGAGGCCAGGTGCTGGTGGCCAGGAGGCAGTCTCACAGAATGTGCCCTTTGGTTGTTTAAATGATTGTATATTCCAGAGTGTTTTTGTGTATATCCTCCACCCAAATCAAACAGAGGGAATAGAAGCAAATACTGTTGAGTGATGATTGTAATCATTGCAATGAAATGATGAATGTAAAACTGATGTTCCCCCATTTAAACTATCACTCAATTCACAATAAAAACTTTAAAAAAAAAAAAAAAGTAGAGGTTTTCAAAAAAGAATACAACAGCACTTACAGAAATGTTTGTTACCAAGAATTGGAAGATAAATCCCAAATTATGTTCAGCAGGTGTTCTGACAGAAGTAACTTGCCATTTGATCACTTAATGTGTTGAAAATTCCAAGTGAATAAGTTTGACTGTAAAGGAACGTTTTCTTTCAAAATGACTTTTATTGTGTTAGTAATCCTAAAGCCAAGTTACTGCACCCATTTTGTCTAGGCTCTTTTAATCCTAGAGTCATTTGGGGTTTTAGCGGTAGAACATTAATTACACAAACTCTTTGATGATTTAATTAAGAAACTTTGAAATATAAAGCAAATAGGCAGAGTATTAAAACCAAAATGATTATTTGTAATTTTGAAAAACAAATGTATTTTGACAACTTTAGAAGAGACCAAAGCTAGCTATATCTGGCATGTTTAATGTGACCTAGCAGATTTATAGTAATATTTAAATTACACCAGTAGATTAAGATTCAAATTTTACTAGAAATACTAAGACTAAAATTATTCATTGAATATTACATGTTGAAGTCCTTTGGAAGTTTTCAATACACAAAATGCCCTAGGCTTCATTATTTGAATTCCTTCCCATTGCAATCTTCTGGAAAGTAAACTTGGTTGTGGTAATATTCTTAAGTGATACTTATAATTTAAGGATTTAATTATTTATATCTAAGAGGTCAAGTGTTGTCCACTTAGATTTTCTTAATATTTCAATTACTCTATTATTATTGCTGCTATTTCTATAGTATTGTTATCCATGATTTGAGATTAACGAGGTAATCAAGTTCTACATAGTTCATTCTTTCTTTCTTTTTTTAAAAGTTTTTAATATGAATTGAGTGAAAGTTTACAGGGCAGATCATCAGTTTTACATTCAACAAATCATACACCTTGTTTCATTACAATGCTTATAATCTCCTCCATGGACCATCAGATAACAGTATTTCTCTATATTCACTTTAGCTATTTTTGTGACAGTCACAATTAGTCATGATAACAATTCTCACTATTGAATTATAAGAATCTTATACCCATCTCTTTTAACCAGACCCATCTAGACAAGATGAAAACTATTCAGTGGGGACTCTTTCTTCCCCCACACATTCTTACACTAAAATCCCTCTTGAAATCTTGTAAGCCAGTCACATCGGGTCTTTATCACTCTCTCATTTTAGGTAGCCAGTGTCTAAGTTGCTCATCCCTACCTACTCTGTGTACAGAGGGGATAGCATTGATACTTGATGTGAAGACTCCTTCTCTATCTGTAAGTATTTAGAGTTACTACCTCTATGAGTATAAGTCAAGTTCATCAAATTGTAGCAATTTACCTTTGTTTCCTTTATCAAAAATTGGTTTTTGTTTGTTTCTTTGTTTGTTTTTTATCTTCCTGTAGTTGAGTTCTGAATATCAAGCCATCGAGGCTAGGTCAAATGGTTACTAACTGCAAGTTTAGGTGTTCTTGTGCATCTCCCCTCACTTCATATCAACTGGATGCTTCTCTCTCAGCCCTTTGTGGCTATGTCCTTTTCCATGGGCTCAGGTGTCCTCAGGTCTCACCACACTTTGAAGCAACCAACCCTTCCTCTTCTCGCTCTCATCTCCTGGTCAATGGGAGTCCATGGAACATGATTGAACTCAGACCA